TGTCTAGCCACATGTCGTTGTACGTTGAAAGATTTATTTTTTCCTTTAAGCATTCATAAAAAACATCTATAAATCAAACACGCATCCATAAAATCATACATAAAAAATAAAATAAAAAAATCTATAAAAATATTCATAAAAACATCAAGTGTACGAAACATCCATAAAAACATTCATAAAATCTGTCAATATTTGCATCCATCAATCAAACATGTTATCACAATTTGTCTATATCGATAGTTTCGGTAATTACTGTTGGAAAAAATGATTTTTGGGGACTTTAATTTAATATTAAAGTGTGGTGACTTTAATTAAATATTAAAGTGGGTCCTAACCATTTTTTGTGTTGGGTCCAAGTGAGCCAAAAACCATTGGGTTTTGAATAAGAAATTGCCAAGAAATTGCTTCATGATGTTAGATTCATGAATAGGATTTTAAAGAGTATTTAAATCTTTTTTCTTAGCTAAAGGGTGTGAATCCTTTGGGCATCCATACTTTTCATTTTGTGGAAAGGGGCTATGGATGCTTGGTGTTTTAATGACTAGCCTTAAAGCCTGGGGGCTTTTCCTCTCTCCCCTATACATGTATAAATTGAGACCCTCCTGTCAAGTTTCAATATAGAAATTTTTACTTCCATTTTACAAGTCAGTTTGCTTGATAGTTGCTATTGTGAGAGAGTGCTGCCATTATTTTGTTCACTAAGCTAGATAGATAGTGCTTCTGCCGTAGCTGGTTTTGACCGTCGTATCCTAGGAAACAGACGCCGGGTTTCCTTAAGCACTCGACCCGTGAGGCGGCGAAATCTGTTTTAAGGAAACTGCTTCCGTGCAGGCTTCGGTTTTGTCTCTTTACTCTTTATTGTTTTTTGTGTATTGCTATTGAAATTTAGTTGTAATTATCAGCATATGTTCTTGGTATATAATTTGTTTTCTTCATAAATCTATTTATTTAATTTCACAATTTTGAACAACAATTACTATATCAAGGCTGACAAGCATACGGAATTGATGAATATGGGTAGTATATGCTTTCTCCCATCCATTAGCACACGGGTGATGAAAACAAATCAAATTATTTGTCATCTGATGTCTTTATAATAATGACAAATCTAGTCTTCTTCTTAATGTCAAAAGCCCATTTAATTCATGCTTGACGACTTCTAAAAATCTAAAGATAATAAATATATTTAGGCTCTGTTTGTTTGTGCTCTGAAAATAGTTTTCAACACTAGAGTTTGAGCATGATGTTTGGTTCCAAAACTCTTCCGGAAGCTCTCTCTATATGTCAAAGCATTCTGTTTGTTGCAGAGGGGGCGTTTGAGGGAACGGGACGTCCGGCCGGTCGTCCGGCCGGTTGACCGGCCGGCTGTCCGAAACAGTGAATTTTTTTTTTTTTTTTTGCAATTGATTTATATAATCGGGAAAAATATTTTCTGAAAATTTTTAAATTTTTTATATGCTTTAAAATAATTTTGAGTTGTATGTTTAGTTATGAGTTGTAAATTTTTGTATCACATATCAAATGTCACATCAACAATTCCCCACTCAAATCAAACCTCTTTTCCAAAACTATTTTCAAAACTCTTTACCAAACAAATTTTCTACACTCAAATCATAATTCTACAACACACAAACTCAAAATATAACTCATACTCTCAAATCACATTTACAAAATACAACCAAACGCAGGCTTATATTTCAAATTATTAATAAAACTCAATCCAAATTAAAAATAAGAAAAAATCGTATTCATAAAAAAATTTAACAAACCTCGTCTATAATGAATTCATAACTGGTGTCCACTAATAATGTAGTACTTGCATTATTGCAATGAGTAGAAACATAATCCTTCCAAGCAAAAAAATATAAAACATAAAAAAATGAAACTGGAAATATACAGTAATGAGTAGCAGAACAAATTAAAAACATTCGGCCTTGGGTTATCAGAAATGTATATTTCATTCGGCAGTTGGTTACCAAATATATATTTTTTGTTCGGCAATGTGATGTCGGACTATTTTATTTTGTTCGATTTTGAAACACCAAAAAAAAGTCGAAGAACAGTCTAGAAAAGCGAAACAAAAACCTACCAAACAATAAAAAAAATTCTAAATTTCACTTTTTTTATGGTTCTTCACCACTATTTCTTCATCCATTACTTTATTCTATGATTAAAACATTATAATTCTCACTTTTGGAAAAGAGGTGTGTCACAGAAAAGAAAAATCGAGAAAGGAAAAAGAGGAGTAGAGATTGAAGACTAAGGGATATAAGGAGAGAATAAAATATATTTAATTTTAGTATTTTGTCTTTAAAGATAATTTCACGTATAGATAAAATTGAGAAAAAAAAATTCTCATATAAAGTGTTTAAAGAGATAAAGTAGTGGTGTAAGTAGAATTACTTAAATAATTTATATAAATTTATGGATTTTGTTAAAGATATGTTAACTCACCTTAATCAATTCCACTATCATAAAAAAATTGAATAGGTTATATATGTTGTATTGTTAGAGAACAAATTATCCTTTTCTTAATTGCCTCTTTTTTTATATTTTTATACGCATTTCATAATAGAATGTTTTAAACATTTTTTTTATAAAAGTAAATGCCTTTTAATTTTAAATGAAACATTTTGTTGGTTTTTAATTTTTTTTTAAATGCCCTTTATTTTAAAATTTTTAATGACATTTTCCTTACACCACATAGTTTAATTATAATTGAAAATAAAGGCCATTTATAAATTTAAAAAAAAATCCACAAAATGTCATTTAAAAATAAAATTCCTTTATTGATTAATATTATTAAATTTTTTAATATTTTTTTATAAGTTTTAGATTTATTTTTCTTACACCAAATAACTTCAGTATGATTGAAATTTTTTAAAACATACGAAATGTTATTTACAAAAATAAAATTTAATATTTAAAAAAATGGTTAAAAAAATTCCATTATGAAAAATATACAAAGAATTCGTTTGAAAAGTAGGTTAACTTTTTGGCATTTTGACTTTTTGACTATTTTAGCTTGGGTTAAAAAGTCTGGTTTTGGAAGGATTTTTTTATCTTTTTTAATTTTTATGAGAAAAAGAATGTAATGATTATGGGTTGAATGTAATGTTTTGTTTTATTAGGCTAAAAAATCTTTTTTTAACCTATTTTGGAAAGTGAGTTAAAAGCCACTTCCTAATTTTTAACCCACTTTCTTCTCTCACAAAAAAGTCAAAAAAAGTTTAAAAAATAATTTTTAACTATCTTCTCAAAACACCCCCTTCTCTTTTATGACTAAAATAACCCCAAACCCAACCCACCGCTTCTTTCCAAACGAAGCCAAAAATAAAGACAATTAAAGAAAAATAATAATTTGGTGTCTACCAATACAACATTTATAACCTATTCAATATAACCGATTCAATTTTATATAATCGTGGGATTGGTAAAGGTTAAGTAATACATCCTTAACAAGTGCACAAAATCCGAAATTTATTAGGCATAAAATTTCTTTTAGTAAATTATTTTATTTTGTTATTGATGTGGCACATGTGATTGGTTGATTAATTTAATCAAAGTCCTAATTATAGTGCCGTTGTGTAGTCTTCGATTTCCAACAACAGATGTTCACTTCGTGCGCACATTAGCGTCAAACACTTTTTATTTTTTTTAATTTTTTTGAGTAATTTACAAATACATTGCTTAAAATATGATTGGTCTCTTAGAGTATTAGTATCAGCCTCTTCAAATTTTTAGTTAAATTAGAGCATAAAAGGCTATTTTATTATTTTAACTAGTTACTTTTTTAGTATTCACTACATCAAACTTTCTATTATACTCAATTTTATTAAAATATTAATTTCTTATTATATTTATTATTCTTTATTTTTTTATTAAATTGATGAGATGTCACCCAAATAATTCTTAAAAAATGTATAAATAAATAAATTTGCCGTTGACCAGTTGACCGGCCGGTCGACCGATTATGTTAGGCTAATTTTGGTCATTTTTCTTCTTTTACTACAAACACTCATGAGACATTTGATAGGATATCAGGGAGGACATCCGAGTGGACAACCGGTTTAAAGATTTTGGCCCAGTTTTACTCCAGAAAATATAATAAAAAATCATATAACTAATGAACAGTGGCTCAACAAAGTTGTTGAGGTACTGTAGCAAATTTAACAAAAAGTTAATTTAGAAAAAAATTATTGAGACTGATGGAAAACAAATTTGATGCTAATGCTCTTTATAATAGCTTCAAAGCTATTGTGGAAAATTTGATGCGGATGCTCTTATAATTATGAAAATTACATCTTACCTATTTATAATTTTATAATAAATAATCTATTTTATTAATAACTTGTCAACTCAATTATCAAATTTTAATGGTGTAACAAATTTATTTTCATTAATAGTTCAAGTAATTTTATCATTATATAAGAAAATAATTAGAAATTTTATTTTTAGTTAATTATGTTAGCACCTATTCATTCACACATTTGGCTCAAATGAGACTCTTACCATTAAAAAATTAGACTCTTATTGGTAAACGTCTTATTCAAAGAGAAATTGAAAAAAAAAAATTATGTAAATGAATTATTAATCTACAAAGTTATTATAAAAAAATATTTACAATTTTAGAACTATATAAAATAATTTATATTTTAAATAAATTTTAAGAAAATGTATTTGTAATTTAAGTACTATTTAGATCATGACATCTTTATATTTTTTTATAAAAATTTAAAAAATATACTTATTTAAATGACGAAAGTTGTCAACAACAAACGACACCGTTAGAAGAAGAAGAAGAATAATTTAAAATAAAATAAAAAACGCATTTGGTAATTTCACACGGGAATGCTTGTCGTTTCGTTTATATCGCCAGCACCGCCTTCGTCGTTTGGAATCTAATTTACTAAATTACCCTCATCCTTATTCACTTTTTACCTCAGGCGGCCATTTCAACGACACAGCTATTTTTTACACAAATCACACTCATCTCCGGTATAGTATCCGAGGGAGAGAGACAGTCACTTCCGTCCTTCTCCATCTCTCTAAAAAGCTTTCTCTCTCTAAAAAGCTTTCTCTCTAAAAGTCTGTTAGCCATTAAAAGCACATCTTTTTTTCAACTCCGCAACTTTATCGCTGAACTCTGTGACTCTTTCTCTGAAACCAAAAGCATTTTAATATATTTAGTTATTCGTTTATTTTTCGACTGTGTTCTGCTATGATTCGCTGATCTTTATTCTGAGATCCAAGCCCTAGTGTTTGAATCACTCAAATTTCTGATCGGTGTTTCCTCAACAATGAAGTCCAGTTCTCGTCTCGACTCTGCTATTTTTCAGCTCACTCCTACTCGAACCAGGTAATTTTCTCTACAAGTCGCTGTCCATGATTTGAGTTTTATTTCATCAAAGATTGAGTCTTTTGTCCATTTGTAGTCAAGCGATCTGAGAGTTGCTGTCAGTTGATTTTTGAGATTTGATGTTGTGTTCTATGCCGTAGTACTCTTTGTAATTCAGTTTTGTTTTCTTCTGTTTTAGATTTTGTCTTGAATATGATCTAGGACGATTTGAATCAATGCTTGTTCAGTTAGTACACTTTTGATAGTACCTTGGATTTTTGTATTTTAGGCGTATGCTATGCTTTTATGTTCATTTCACCTATCCACTGTGCCAAAGATGTGTTTTGCATCATTCAGTTTGATTCTTTCCATTGATTTTTCGAGAATACATGATAAATTTGTTTGCGAAAATTTTATGGATAAAGCATGCCGAGCAATTAAGCGTTATAGATTATTTGGAGGATGCAGATCCTCGGGACATTGTTTTGCCTCTAAATTAATTATACTTGACTTGGTGAATTGAAGTTGAAGTGAATTAGTTACAGAACAGTTTGTTGTTTAGTACTTTTGCAGATAAGAATTTTGGCAATGATTGGACTTTTTTAATGGAAATAAATAGAAAAGGAAAACATTTTGGTCTAAGAAGCACGAATTCAAACACGGACACATACACGACACAATACAAACACATTAACACAATAATTTTCAAAAATAAAATAAAAGTAGGACACCAGTCGACACAGGCAATTTTCATAAAAATAGGATTAGACACTGCTAGGTACACATGACCGTAATAACTAACTGCATTTTTATTTTATTCTTTTACTTTACTTACAAATGCATTTAAATCTATCTTTGAAAAGTGGGAAATTATTTTCTACATTGTACATATTGGAAAAAGGTATGAATCAAAAGTCATGGTGTCTATTTTAGAAAGTTTTATTCGTAAACAAATTGGATGTTTTGGGCTTTAGAATTCCTAAAATAAAAAAATAAAAATAAAGGAGTAGGGATTTAAAAAAAAATCATGTTCAAGCTGACGGGATTGAACAAACAATTCCCCAATTTAGCGACTGGTGCATATCATGCAGTTGTTTGGCTGGAACTATTTACCCATAAAAATATTTATCTTGTCTATCATATCTTCTTTCCTTTTTCTTTTTCTTTTTTTCCAGTTTTTTGTTGCTAGATAAAAAAATTATTATACTAATGGATTATATGCACTCTCATGTCTAGCCTAAAGTGCAGCTACAATAACGCTAGCTTTTCTTATTGTAATGTTGTTAGAAGAAATTCAAGAATTTTTAATTTTACCTAGGAGATATGCAAATGCACTAACTGTAGCTCTGTTATCAGGTGTGATTTGATTATCTCTGCAAATGGGAAAACGGTGAAAATTGCTTCAGGTTTACTGAATCCTTTTCTTGCCCACCTGAAGACTGCTCAAGATCAGATTGCCAAGGGGGGTTATTCAATTTTGCTTGAACCTGAACCTGGAAATGACAGAACATGGTTCACCAAGGGTACGGTGGAAAGGTTTGTACAACTCTATGATGCTCTTGTGGAAATTCAGGAATTCACTGTTTGGTTGAGATTTATGCTTTCAGAGGCTTGGTCAAAACCTAACAAAATTGGTTAACATCTCCATATGATTTTCTGAACTTTTGAAGGTACTTCTGTTTGCATTATGTATTTGTATAATTAAGCAACATTATGCTACTTTATAATCTCATGTTGGGGTTAAATTATGCATCACTGACTGTATACTACTAAAATTGTGTAGTGGGACATTATTCTCATTGTTCAATGCTGTTAACCATGGAATAGACTCCTCTTTCACCTCTCAACTATCTGCAACAATTTGTTAAGGAAACAAATTGTTGATAATTTCGTTGACAAATAAATCGACTATCTGCAACATTCTGGCTGTTGATTTGAATCTTTCACTTATAGAGGAACCTGGATCTTCCCAAATGTTGCAAATTTGTGATAATTTCAATGTTGAAGCTACTGTTCCAATTTCCAATTCAACAGTTGTATTGGATTATTCATGATTCCCTTCCATTTGAGTTTTTAAAGGAAATGAAATGAGAAATAAAGATTAATTTGTGTTCTTTTCCACAGGTTTGTTCGTTTTGTTAGCACTCCAGAGATTTTGGAACGAGTGTACACCATAGAATCTGAGATACTACAAATTGAGGAAGCAATTGTCATTCAGCGCAACAACGATATGGGTCTGAGCACCGTAAGCATCATCTATTAGAACTTTTTATTCTGTAAGCCATGGAAAGAGCATTCAGTTTTTTACTCCCCTTTGGTTTGGCAGGTAGAAGACAAACATGCAAAACCTGTGGGAAGCAGCGAAGGTATGCATAAAAGAAAGGTTCCATCAAAAGATATTTGTACTCTGCTGCAGTAGATGCTGAATATATTAATTTTTAAATTTAATTTATTTTTTATGGTATTGAGTTACATTCAAAATTCTGGGCAGGCGACAAAACCGTGACTGATGCTAATGAGGAAAGAGCAATTGTTCTTTACAAGGTAACTCCACATCAAATCAAGTATTGTCTTCAAATGTTGGACTTATCATATATGCAATCATAATATGGTTTCTTGTACTGGCAGCCTGATTCGCATCCACCTGAGGCAAATGGTTCCATCGCACAGGAAGGAAATTCAAAGTATATTTTAGTGCTACGATGGGTGATGAAATTATCTGTGAAATTTCTTTTGTTACTCAAGGGTTTAAACATTAGGGTGGTTGTAATTTTTCTCTAATAATTCTAAATTGATTTTCATTGATATTGATGGTTATAATATACTTTGCTGGGTGCACTGATAAGTATGAACTAAATCTGGACATAACCAATGTCAAATGGTATCCAATAAGCACAATTTAATATAAATTGGAATGTCAAAATAGTACAGCAAGGTTCCCATAATTATGCTTGTATTGCATCATTGGGCACCCATATACACAGAATAGATTCATGCAGCCTCTATCTTTAAATTTGTCTCAAGTTTTCCTAATGTCACAAAACTGCTTTGGATTCAATACCATTTCATTTCTGCTTGACATGTAAAGTATACTTGTATTACTATCTTTTAGTTTGAATGCTGAAGAGGTAAATGCAACTCAATGATCTTTTTGTCCACAAGAAGGAACGTGGAAACTTTGATTACAGTGGTATGGGTGAAATGTGTCTTCAAGTGTGTTTCACAAAATCTCATTTGCTGCTGCACAGTTGTTGTGTTCAAGTGGCTAGATTCTGGAGTTTTGTTTTATTTATTTATTGTTTTTTTATGCCTGTCTGTTTCCAAGTGCAATCGCTGTGTGTGTCCCCATGGATATGGCGCCTAAGCTATTTGCCTGAATGCAGTGTAGTTACTAGAATATCTCTATGGATGATTCTATTCCATGTCACTTATTTGCTCTAGCCTAAGTATTGTCTTTGATAGTGGTTCAGTACCTTACACCTACCTATATAGTGGTGGGCCAGCCTAATGACATAAGTTGTATAAATATACACGCACACACACAAAAGTCTCATTATTGTGTGGGGAAACCTGATAATTCATTGATATTGGTTCTGCATTATTTGCTTTCTCATTCATACTCACATAAATTTGTGAAATGTCCAGATGTTTCTTTCTCAAGAAGGAACCAATTTTATTTGAAATAAACATTTGCATATCATAAATCAAAATGAAATGAAGATGCCATGTTTTAAGGTTGTGAGACATGTTGTCATCTGCTTGTATGTCCAATGGGTAACAATATTTGAAAACATTTTGAGGAGCCCTGTACTCGTTGTACTTATTTTGCATATTTAATCAGAGTCCAACTTTTGAAAGTCCTAGAGACACGGAAAAGTGTACTGCAGAAAGAACAAGGCATGGCCTTTGCACGTGCAGTAGCTGCTGGTTTTGACATTGATCACATGGCACCACTGGTGTCATTTGCTGAATGCTTTGGAGCCTCGCGTTTAATGTAAGCAGCAATTCCTTGTTTGCAGATGTTGATTGCCATCCCCCACCTCCTCACCCCCTTTCTAACTGATTTTCTTCTTCTTTTTTCTTTTTTAATTCATGTTTGTGCTCATAGAGCCCACTTCGATATTGCATTGAATGGAGCTTTTTATTCCCTCTTTTCCACAATTGTCACACCAGTTTTTCTTTGTAGATACCATTTTTTTGTATGATGTTAGATTTGCCCATGCTACAGGGATGCATGCTCGAGGTTCGTAGATCTGTGGAAGGGAAAGCATGAGACTGGACAGTGGCTTGAAATTGAAGCAGCAGAAGCAATGTCCAACAGATCAGACTTCTCTGCCATTAATGCATCAGGCATTATGCTTTCTAGCATGGCCAACAAACAGAATGAATCACATGGTGACTTGGCTTCAGAGGACAATGGACAAGCAGCCATTGATGCAAGTGCAGGTATGTACACCAAGTCATAAATGAGTGGTCCTACCAACAAAAGATGTTATCCTTTCTTTCTTCTGATCTTATAACAGATTTCACTGGACTCCCCCTATTCAATTTACACCGTTCCTTCGAATTTCACTCCGGTTTGGTAGATTTTAGGGCTTTAAAGGATTAAGCGATTAACATGAAGTTTCCATACTTGGACGTGTTAAAAGGGCACAAAACTTTTTAATTGATTTATCTCCTAGAATGATAAATATCAAGGGCCAAAGATAACTTCAGTACTTTTTCTCTCTTCTTCTTCTTCTTTCCTATGAGTTCTTTATTTTCTTCATTCACTTTTTGCATTTTGAAATTTGAAAATAATTCTCACTTGCTTTTTTCTGGTTAACTGTATACACTTGTGCCCAGAAGAAACGCGTCCCATGGATCACCAAGTTCCAGTAGGCCAACAAGGATATTTTCAAGGTCCGTTTCCGCATCCTATGTTTCCTCCCTGGCCTGTACAATCCCCACCTGGTGCGCTGCCAGTCTTCCAACCATATCCTGTGCAAGGAATGCCCTACTATCAGAGTTATCCAGGAAATGGCCCATTTTATCAGCCACCTTATCCACCAATGGAGGATTCTCGATTCAATGTTGGTTATGGAGCAGGACAGAAAAAACACACCATGGATAGTAGAGACAGCAATGTTGAATCAGAAGCATGGGAGATGGATGCCACCAAAACAAGGTCACATGGTGATTCGGAGTTGGAGAGCGAAGCTTCACAAAGCTGGGGACCACAAAAGAAGGCCGGAAGATCAGGTAAAAAGAAATCAGGCATGGTTGTTATTCGGAACATCAATTACATCACTTCAAAAGGGAAGAATTCTTCAGGCAATGAATCCCAATCAGCTTCTGACTCTGAAACTGACAAGGAAGCTGGAGATTTTCAGGTCAGTGCTCCAGATAGGATGCACAAGAACTCTTTGTCCTCAAAAAGAAAAGGAGGTCATGAATCAAATTTATCTGATAAGGAAGAAATTATTTATGAGAAGGAAACAAATGGAGGACACTGGCAAGCATTTGAAAACTTTTTACTGAGAGACAATGATGAACATAATCATGCCGCTGATCAAGGCATGTTTGCATTGGAAAAAAATGTTAAAAACAAGAGACGACAGAACACAGTTGGTGATGATCCTTTAGCTGTTGTTGGGAGAGATTCAGTTGAAGCACAAGACGGGAGGATAACTGAATTCCATAAAGCTAGTGGAAACATGGCTCGGATGTTGAGGGCATCAAATGATGAAGGTTTAATTTCTAGAGGAGAGGGTCATTATGGAGATGGTATAGGATCAACTGATGACCAAATGGATATACAATTTACAGAAACAAATAGAAGAAAGGTTTTGTATAGGAACAATGCAAATGATGATTTTATGATTGTTGGACGAGAAAACCAATCACATTTTTTGAGTTCATCAGATCCGCTGGTTGTAAATGGATTCACGCATGCCACCAATAATTTGGATGGGAGTTCACCACAAGATATGATTGATGAATCCTTCATAGTTCCATTCCGGTCAATGTCACTAGATCATGTTGGAACTAACGATAGAACTGCTATTGACATGGATTTTGAGCTTCCTTCAACAATGCAGAGGTCAGAATATAGTTCTAATAGGACTGGAAACCAAATTAGCTATGAGCCAGATGATTTGAGCTTCATGCCTGAACGCGGGACAGAAAAAATGACTACTGGATATGACCCTGCTTTGGACTATGAAATGCAGGCTCATGTTGAAGATGCTGCTTCACTGGATAACAGAAATAAAGAAGTTGTAGTAGATGTCAAGCAAGGGTCCAAGAAGTCAGGCAAGGATCGGAAGTCAAAATTTGCTCCAGATGCTTTAGATAAGAAGACTGTGGGACCAATAAGAAAAGGGAAAACTTCAAAAATGAGTCCTTTAGATGATGCACGAGCTCGTGCTGAAAAACTAAGAGCTTTCAAAGCTGATCTCCAGAAAATGAAGAAAGAGAAGGTACATTGCTTATTATACTTCAACACTCTACGACACAGTGAGAAGATTAGCAGCAAAACTCCTTGTGATACTTGCGAAATCACATCATGGGTTTGAAAAAGTGAAACAGCCTCCCTGCGGGGTAAGGTTGTTTAACCCTTCGCAAACCCCGCAGTGGTGGGAGCCCCATTCACTGGGCTGCCCTTTAGCTTTGGCGTTATGCTCTTATAGTTACAGTGCAATTTTTCTTTTGCCAGCTTAGCATGTTTGGCATTCCAATGGACTTATATCTTCAAGTTGTTTCTTTTACAGGAAGAGGAAGATCGCAAACGACTGGAAGCTTTGAAGATGGAGAGGGAAAAGAGAATTGCAGCAAAAGGCAATTCGACTGTTCAGTTGGCATCCTCACAGAAAACCCGAAAACAATTGCCAACAAAACTTGCGCTAAGCTCTGTCAAAGGAACAAAGTTCAGTGATTCAGAGCCAGGATCATCATCTCCTCTACAGAGATCTAAGATAAGAACTGCTTCAACTGGATCCAGTGAACCTCATAAAGCCTCTAAAAGCAACAAATCAAGTAATGGAAGCCACTTACCAGGGAATAGGTTGACTAGATCAGTTTCATCATTGCCAGAGCCAAGGAAAGAGAACAGTGATATCACTCCTGATCCAAAGGTTCCCATGGCGCGAATCCGAAGACTATCTGAGCCTAAACAAGTTAGCAGCCCTTATGTTGCTCTAGTGAAGTCACGAGGTGCTGAATTAGTATCAAAGCTTTCAAATGAACCTGAGAGGAAAGACATATCTGATATTATAAACCTTGATAAAAGCAAGGCTGCAACACTTCCTGAACTTAAGATCAGAACATCTAAAGGGCCTTTGGATGTAGGCCGGAACACATCAGCACCCAAAGAGATGACACAGAAAGTGAACGTGAAGAAATCTTCTCTAACTTCCGGAAGTGCTGAATTAAATAGGAACAACGACCATCACGCACATCAAAGTGATGTGGATGACAAACCAGTAATTGATAAGACAGTTGTGATGCTTGAGTGTGAGAAGCCCTCTTTTCCTATTGTACATCCATCACAAGAAAATATGGGTGTACAAAAGGAGCGTTATGACAATCATGACAATTTAGAGAAAACTGACGTGATGTCAGAGTACGCAGCTATTCGTGCACCAGCTTCACCCATGGAAGGAGTTGATATAGAACCCATTCAAAGCCAATTACAAGAGCAACCCAGGGTTTACGAGGTAGGATTGGTAAAATCATAATTATTGTTTTACAGTCTATGCATGTTGTAAAGGCTGTGATTTGCATTGATGAACAATCTCTGCCAAGTGAAACAATTAAATTGAAATTCATAACATAGATGCAGTGTCCCTAAGTCCTACTTGTATGGCAGTTGGTAATCCCAAAATCTGCTATTATGTTGTTAAGATTTGTTACGTTTCACTTTAACAAATAGACACTATTTGAATCTTTCTTTAATGCTAATATATATTTCAATTGGTTTACTGTTCCAAACTTGCTCACATTCTAGTAAATACAAACTAGTTTTTTTGTTTTTGTTTTTTTTTTATGATATAATCCTATTTTCTTAGGGGCCATTGGTTCAATGGTTAAGACTTGGCCTAATAACCTTAAGGTTATGGTTTCAAGTCTTGGGGCCACCACTTTGTGCATTATGCAAAAGGTTAGGTGTGTACTCAATCTTTCCCCTCCCAAACACACATTAATGTGTACTAATTGGGCGTTGCTATATAATCCTATTTTCTGATTGATCTATTTTTATGATGTAATACTATTTTGTTTGTCAGGTTACGACAAGTTATGCAGAGAATGAACCACCAAACTCTTCAAGCATGTATTCTGCTGAAAAACCTTACCAAGCCCCTTTGGCTCGGCTCTCTTCTTTAGAAGACCCATGTACTGACAATTCAGTGTATGGCAAAGCACCTTCAACAAACTTAGAGACAGCGACAATGGGTGTGGAAACTGCTAAAGCACAAGTATCTGGTTTTGAGAATCTGAAATTAGAAAAGATTCCGGAAGTCCTGGAGAAGCCTCAGGTGAAGGTATCACCAAAAGGGTTTAGACGGCTCTTGAAGTTTGGAAAGAAGAGCCATAGTTCAACTGCAGGTGAGCACAGTGTTGAATCAGATAATGTGAGTGTTAGTGGCTCTGAGGTAGATGGCAAAGCAACAAATGCAGCTTCTTCTAGTGAAGGTAATATGCATTTCACTACATTTTGCACTGTTTTGAACAATTAATTATATAGCATTGTTGAACTTTTGGGTTTCTATTGCATATATGACTATACAGAAAACAGCATGAAGTCTTAGCTTCATATATATTGTTGGGCCCATTTCAACAACTTAACCTTTTAGATGATTTCAACATGGTATCAGAACAGGCAAAATAGCTTGTGTTCAAACCCCACCGGCTACCCGATAATTTAATTAAGGATAATAAATGTCGGAAATTGTTGAGTTTTTATTATTGCATTAAATGCTTCCATTTACTTAACTTGTTTAGAAGTAGGCTATGGTTAAGTTTTGATGTTACCTTAACTCCTATTCAGTCGTAACTAGTTCTCAAGCTGACCTGATATTTGATGATTCTCATGCTCAGTTCATACATTGAAGAATCTAATCTCTCAAGATGAAACCCCAACTTCTGGAGCTACTTCCCAAAAATGTAAGTGATCATCACACTGCTTCCATTCTTGCCTGATTTGTTTCCTTTTCTGTCCTTGAATGAACAAGGTTTTTGGATCATTTCTTTTCTTCCACTGGTTACAGCTTCCCGCCACTTCTCTATTTTGTCGCCCTTCCGTAGCAAGACCAGTGAAAAGAAGTCAACAACATGACAAGGCGGACATTTAGGTGAGGTTGCTGATTTATTTTCTTCAGTCCTTTGTGGGTATGAGAAGTGAGAAATGTCGTGTGTATCAATTTGCATGGACAAAATTGTGTTTATTGGTTTGTAAAAATAGGTCACTGTACATTCAAATCCACTTTTCCTTTGCCAAAATAGTTTTATACTGCCTTGAATCTTGCCTCATAGTTAATACTAAGCATGTGAAACCATGAACTCTTGTTGTTATATTTAAGTAGCAAACAAAAATCAGACAATGAAATAGTCAGTGTACAGAGCATCTAAGAGTACATCCCTAGATGTCTGTCAGAAACCTAAACATGCACTAAACTGCACCAATCAGTCGAAGTGAATGACTAAGCAGGAAATATTGCTTCTGCTCACTCTGGTTAAAGCTTCCCTTGCTAAACACTCGGCAACTTCTTGTGGATCCTCCATGTGCCTGATGAGATTCACTGCCTCTTGATGCTTCATCATCTAGAGAAAGAATCGTACTTTATTACTACAACCAATGAGGACAATGAGGATAGTTTTGTGAAAGTGAAAAATTATCTCGCATTCATCTTAGATTTTGTGACTAAAAACAATGGTGATGCCTCTTATTTTTAGTGAAGTGTATTGTATGTACCTCCCAGATGCCATTGCTTGCTAATATAACAAACTCTGTATGAGGGTCTATTCTTTCGTCTCCAACCACAACCTCTGAGCTTTTAGAGGTGCGCACTTTAGACATGCGTACGACACCTGATAAGCAGAATAAAATAAAATTCTACTTCATTCACTTTTCTTTTTCTTTTTCTTTTTGTTGTTTTTGAACATAATATATAATTGATATAATTGGAGCGGGGTAGAGAGTTGCATGCCTAGAATTAATCTGAGAGACCAGTGTCTTTTGGTACCTTGCTGTTGCCTCCAACTGATCAGATGAGCTTCACCATCTCTGCACACAACAGCTCTGTATTCACCCATGTTAGCCACCACATGCCTCTCCCCATTGATGACTATGGGAGATGCTGAGCCCACTTTCCATGTCTCCTCTGCTTTCTCTGCCTCTCTGATCTTCGCTCTCGCACCCAGATATGCTTTTGTCAGAGTCTCTTTGCTCTTCCTCCTCAACTTAGGCTGTCAAACATTTTTGCATATACGTAGTTGAGTAATTCTACATATCCAAAATGGGATCTCATCTTATTGGACCTTTAAAAAATTAGGACCTTCGGTGACAATTTTTTTTTTTAATAAAAAATTTAGTCTCGTAACTTTTTCTTTAGCATATACTTGCCGCTTTGGGTTTCTTATCAAACAAATGTGATTGCATGTACTTGGTGACTGAATCTCCAATTTTGGCATTGGAAACTTCAAAATACCACAACTCAAGATCTTCAATTTGTTCTTTCTGCACAACTGAGTCCGAGTTTGAGTTCAAGTTGGGCTCACCATTGAATTCACAGTGATCATCTACGACATGGTAACCATGTGACCCTGGCACCATCCATGAAGGCCTCTTTCGAAACTCAGTCTCTCTTTTTCCATTACCTGAAACATCTCCATTGAAAAATCTTCTCACTCGAAATGCCTGCCCAATTCATTAACAAAATTACCACACAAAATAAAAAGTAACAAAAGAAAATAAAAAATATATATCATCACACAATGAACACTGTTTTGGTGATGTCAAATAAAAAATTAATCGACATTGTAGTGATCTGCAGTCTAGTTATATAAACTGTAAGTGGCTTAGATAAGCAATATAGGAAATATTTTTAAAAAAAAAACAAGAAACAAGAAAAATAAATTTGTAATAGCGAAAAACATTATAGACTTTCTGTAAGAAAATTTGTTATTTTCACGAGGAAAACAAATCATGTATTTTTCTAAAGAACTTAAAAGCCAAGGTATCATGTCGATATGAATTGTACAAGAAATTTCACTTCAATCGTTCTCATACTAGACAAATTTAGGAAAAGTTTTGATTTTCTCTCTTTTTCTTCTGTAATTATTTGGTATTTTGAGAATTTCATTTTCATCATATGGCAGCATGGATCTTCTAAAGAGATCATACAACACATCATTTTATGATGAAAAATTACTCTGGAGGATCCATACTTGATGGCATGCCCACCCAATAACAAAGACTATTCAACTCCATGATCCAAAAAAATAAAAACCATGAATAATTTCTGCTTTTTTGCACTTCCAATCACTTTTATCTCAACCAAACTCATGTTTTTATCAAATACAAGCTTGAAGAAACTCATGCTTGCTGTTCCTAAATTATTGAATAAGATATATAACTAGATTGGTTATGTTGTTAAAATTTTGCATTTAAGGTGTTTTTTGGGATGTACGTAGAAAAATTCACCATAATTCTAGAACTCCATTAATCAAATCTTTTGATTCTCCAACCCCTGTAAATAGTGTGTGTGTACACTCACATGAATACATAGATTTTGAGAGAGAGAGTTACCTTGAGCATGAGATGAAGATCCTTAAACCACATGATTGTGCTGAAACTTGAGATGTGTTTCACCAAATGAATATATATGGTATTTGAGGATGATAATAAGATTAAACGTTTTGATTTTCAAATCAAAATATGGAGAGATTTTCTTGGGAAGAGATATATACTCTCATATAGATCTTGGTTATATATACGTTTTTTAGATGTTTTGAAGTCAATGAGGAGTTTAAAGCTGTAGGAATTTTCAATGCACCTCCTATTTTTGGCCCAAGAAAAAAAGAAACTTTTCTTTGAATTAATTACTGTCAACATTTTATGAGCTTTGAATTTCTGATATAATTTTAATTCGGTCGTTTTCTTCTTTTTCTTAGACATACATATTAATTTTTTATCGTAATCTTGTGTTGACTTGTGAAATCCTATCAAATTCAATAAAAATTTCACTAAAAAAAAAAAAAAAAATAGCCGCAAAACATGTCAATTCTTATCAATTTCAAATATAAAAGCTTTATTATTAGGAAAATTACACAAAATAGTGAAAAAAAAGGGGGGGGGGAATATTTAACATTTAATGGATGCTTTCTAAAATTACACAACAAATGATAAGTATGAAAATACTTACAAGGAAATGAAATTTAGAGTTAAATTTATCATTTTGTCCTCACCACTCATACTACTCTTGCCTCGTGCACACGTTTTTATATGTATATGTTTCTCTCTTTCTCTACCTTGCACACACTTCACACAAAACACACTTGTATACCTACATCTCTCTCTACATTTTTTTTTTTGATAAAACATATATAGTTTTTTAAATATTAATCCAATTTTTATAGAATTAATACTATTAAAAAGATATCGATGATACCTTTAAAACTTGACTTATATTAAATATATTTAATAAAAAAATTAAAATAAAATAATCACTCTGTTTGGTTTTATTTTCAAAATATTTTTTTTAAAAAAATAAAATTAATTTAACAAAAATAAACACGATGTGTTTAAAATTCTCAAAATTTACTTTCATTCTTAATAGATGAATGAACCACATAATGAAAATTTCAAAGCATTCAACCTTTTTATATTATTTTCTTATTTATACAAAAGTAATTTTTAAAATTTTTAAAAATGATTTTTTATAATGTCTACTTTTACAAAATTACTTTTAGCATTTTAAAAAATTGACAACTAAACAAATATGTGTTTGGTAACGTTTACGTTTTCAGTTTATATTTATAAAAATTTTATAAACTCGTTTTTGTTTATTTTTTGTTTATTTTTAGAAAAACATAAACTACAAACGCGTTTGGTAATTGACAAAAGGTTTAAAAAAAATTTAAAAATATAAAAAAGAGTGAGAAATGGCAAGTGGTAGCAAGTGGCGGCGGAAGACGGTGGTGGAAAGTGGTGACGGTGGGTGGTGGTGATGGGTGGGTGGTGGATGGCGGGTGGTGGTTGCAGGTGGTATGTAGTAGCGAGTAGGTGGTGGTGGTGGTGGCGGGTGGTGGTG